AAGGGAGGGAAAGGGGCTCAGGGTGAACAGGGGGGGGGGGGGGGGTGTTAAGGGTGTGTCTGTGTGAGGAAGAGAGAGGGAGACATTTTTTGACTTTGACAAGTTCACTGAGACAAAAGCGTGATTTTTCTTTTTTTACTTTGACAAGTTTATTTGGACAATAGCGAGCGAGAGAGAGGGAGGGAGGGAGGGAGAAGGAGAGACAGAAGAGAGAGAGAGAGAGAAGAGAGAAGGGGGCTGAGAGAGAGAGAGAGAGAAAGAGAGAGTAGCGGAATAACGTATCCGCATAAGTGAACATACTCCTGAATATCTTGAGAAGGAGCGAGGGTCTGAACCTGTGAGTCCGTGATGTTCAACATCCGGAAATCACACAACGCTAATGGCAGTTCCCCTTCCTGTCTGCCTGCCGCAAGCCGCATGCGACCCCCACCCCCTCCTCCCCTAGGCCACTGCCCCCTCTCGCGCTCCCGCCCCACTCACTTTCGCTGCGATCAAGGTGAAGGTCGTCCTCCAGCTGGAGTGGGAGGTGTTCCTTGACGCGTCATGAGGCCTAAACTCCGCCCTGATCATGAGTGCCACGCCCCTCCACCCGCTCCTTCCTTGTCGTGTCTCATAGTTGGAGATTTTGAATTGCGGTCATTGTATACATACATTTTTTCTTTCTTTTTTTTCTTTTTTCTTGCGATCTTCTTCAAGGTTAATTTTAAAAATATGATTGAAAGCAAGGTAAAATGGACAGCCGTTTATCGAACAACTTAAAATCTAGTGTGCCCGTCTCTTCTCTCTCTCTCTCTCTCTCTCTCTCTCTCTCTCTCTCTCACTCTCTCAACTCTCTCTCACTCACTCACTCACTCATTATCTATCTATCTATCTATCTGTCTGTCTATCTATGTCTATCTGTCTACCTGTCTATCTATCTATCTACCTATATATATATATAATATATATAATATATATATATATATATATATATATATATATATATATACATAGATAGATAGAGATAGACTGATTAATTGATAAATGTCTATAGATAAAGATATGGATAGGATGTAGATATATGTATGTATATATGCATTACTCAAATGTATATTCATACTTAAAATAAGAGAAATGCCGAATACCGACCACCAATTGGCCTAGGTGTAAATTGGTGAAGGGAGGGCGGGGGGGGGGAATCTATATACTAATAAGCCTTTCCAGCAGGAGTGTACCATCTCACATGACCTTAGTAAGTATCACCGCGTTCAGGGACTACTCGAATAGGATGATTGATATGAATATGTATATGTGTATATAAGTGTATATAAGTATATATATATATATATATATATATATATATATATATATATATATATATATATATATATATATATATATATATAGTACATAAATAAATACAATATATATTATACATATTATATACATATATATAATATACATATTATGTGTGTGTGTGTGTGTGTGTGTGTGTGTGTGTATGTGGTGTGTGTGTGTGTGTGTGCGTGTGCGTGCGTGCGTGCGTGCGTGCGTGCGTGCGTGCGTGCGTGCGTGCGTGTGTGTGTGTGTGTGTGTGACATAGTGTGCTGACATATCCTTTCCGTCATTAGCAGTTTCATCTTTTCGTGATTTCACACTGACTTTCCCGTGCCCCATATTCACTTCGAAGTTAGTCATACGATAACCGGACTGCTGAAGAAAAGAGACGATCCCGAGGCAGTGCACCAGCGTCCCATGGCCCAGAAAAAGCTTGGTTGAGTACGAAAGGGAAAATGGTACGACGTAATGCTTGAAATCTTCATCTCCCAGCGGTAATTGTAACAGCAATGCAGTAGGATGAGGAATTAGAATGACATTGAAAATGAAGATGTTGATACTAATGCATAGGAAAATAAGGTATAATATGCTGATAAAAATAGTAATAAGAACTGTGGTCAGTATGATCAGTATAAACATTTTTTTTAACAGTAGCAAGAAGGGTAAAGAATTGATAAAGATAATATTATTGATAAATAATCGATATGGATTTTTTGAATGTCCAAGTCTGACTTTAATGAAAATATTTTTTTTATTCCAATAACAAAGTAAAAATAAAAATTACGGAGTCAATTTATATAAAGACGACTGATGACTACCAGTCAACCACGGAGATAAACAATAAAGTAAAATTAAAAGCATTGGTAGCAGCTACATACCACAATTTACTTCCTTATAATAACTACCGTATCAGGAGTTTAGTTTACTATCGTAAGGAGTCTGGGAGTGAAATCCAAACTTACGGAAGTAGCAAAATACAAGACATAAAACATCTTTGTCGCACTTGCGATATCGTATGTAAGATGCCAAAGACGTATATAGATAAACAATACTAAGATACGAAGGTAGGTGATGCTATACAAAAGCGCTACATTCATATTAAGAGAACTATAAAGGTCGAAAAGTTTTGATGCGATAATGAATCCTAAAATTAAATTAAATATAGATTAAATGCAGAAAATTCCAAGATCGAAATTGCACTAAAATCATGAAAACGGATATACAAACATAACAAAATTTAAAACCTATAAATTCTAAAATTAGCAACAAAAACCTCATTGGCAGCTCAAGCCTAGGAGCTGCGAAATATGTAAGTGCAACTATTTGCTAAAACTAGAGCATGGTTGAATGCTATTAACACAGCGACCAACACAGTAACACATAAGCGCAGTGGTAACAACACTTAACCGGAGACTAAGCAAAATGAGGATAATAAAAATGAAAAACCAGTTACTGATGATGGTCATTATCATTTTACTATATTTTTTCATTCATAAACTGGCTCGTCGTAGTCAGGCGTTTAACCTAATGATTATTAATATTACTATCACCTTTAGCATTATCATAAACATCATAATTATCTTATTTTTTCCTATCATTTATTCTATCATTATTATCATTATCATCATTAGTATAATAAAAATAGTATTATCAGAAGTAGCTGTTGCTGTAGCATTAGTAATAACAACAACGACAAGGAAAATAAGACGAAGAATATAGACAACAACAAAAAACACCAGCCTGCAACATCACAACAACAACAACACATCCATAAACAAACACTAAAAACATCAGAATAATGAATAACAAACAATAACGTGTAATGGCCAGAATGCAAAGGGGTCAAGGGAGGCGAGAGCGGGGAAAAGTGGCAAGGATGGTCTGTATGGTGTGATGGTGAGATGGTGGCCAGGCATGGTGGGCGTGGACTGGAATGTGTTTATGTATGGTGTCATGGTTAAGGAGGGGCGGGCGTGTGTGGGTGTGGGTGTATTTTTGTGTGAGTCGGTGTGTCAATTTTGTGAGTGTGTGTGTGTGTGTGTGTGTGTGTGTGTGTGTGTGTGTGTGTGTTGTGTGTTTCTTTGTTTGTTGTGTGTGTGTGTGTGTGTGCGTGTGCGTGCGTGCGTGCGTGTTATCGTGTGTATCTCCACATACATACATCATATAACACCTACAACCTCATAAAACCATATCATTAGACCTGGCGAACGAAGCACAACCTAACCAGACCAACTCAGCAACTCGCACACCACACACGGCCCCGCGAGTGTGCAGAGCCTCAAGGCCGTCGCCCGTTTGGAATACACAGGCAGTCAGTCGGCCGCCCAAGAGGTCGCTGACTCTGTACTTTCATCTACTGCCGCCCATTCACAGGTCGGTCAGTGGGTTGTGCTTTGTACGAGGTCCACTTTGTCCTAAACTACACACACGCGTCCTTGAATATGAATACGTGTTTATGTATTAGAGTTTATATGCATGTATGTATATGTATATGAATATGTATATGTATGTATGTATATATATCATATATATATATATATAGATATATCTGCAAGTACACATACACGTATTTGTGTTTGTGTGTTGAGTGCGTGCGTGTGAGCATATATAATAGGAGAAAAGGAAGCATAGTAATGGGAAAAGACCGAGGAAGGAGGAAAAAGGATTAAGGATTTTATTTTCCTTCTCTTCCTGTCAAAATCACAGGATACCGATTACCAGAGATACATATGACTAATATATATGGATAAAGTGACAGCTGACATCTAAATTCGCATTCATAATTCTAAATTACCGAACACGTCTTTGAAACACCTGGAATGGCCATCACTTCACGCATCCTAAGCGTCCTCCCCATTTACTTTCTTGGTCACAGTCCATCAAATCTCAAGTCAAAACCACGTCCAAAGTACTACTCATTACTGCCTTCATTAACCGCCCGCTTCCTGTTCCCCATCTGCTTACCTGCAGTTACCCATCGCGGTAATAGGTACTTTCGCTCTCTGCTCTGTGTCAGGGGGGGGGGTGAAGTAGCTTCATTCGCCGTTATTATAGGCTTGGGGTCGTTTATCTGACAGTAATTGTGTCATTAACAGAATGGATGTGAATGATGATGCATAGATATATATATACAAGTAATACAAGTATATAATTACACACAAACACACACACACACACACACACACACACACACACACACACACACCACACACACACACACACACACACACACACACACACACACACACACACACACACACATATATATATATATATTATATATATATATATATATATATATATATAGCATATATTAAATATATGATGAAGCTGCTGAATTACTAATATAAAAAAATATGTCTGTCTTGAACAAGTCTGCCAGATATCCGTAGCATTTTCTCATTTTAACCTATGATTTTTAACAGAAAATGTCTTATTAGGGATACTTGTGCAGGTCAGTGGATGTTTTCCTGTTTGGTATTGCTTATTAAAGAGAAAACAAATATAAAGTGATGATTGAAATTGCACAACCTTTGTATTTTGTTCATGTAAAGAGTAAATATATATCGAAAATGCAAGCCAATATTCTGCCTATATATTCTATAAAAGGAGAAAGAATATTCTGCCACTACGAGTTCGAATCACCTTTTTTGTGGAGTTCGAATCGGCCTATTCGCAGCTGCGGAAGTGTGAGGTCACTGTTTACTGTTGGCGTCAGTAATCTTTACTTGTGTTCCGTATAGCAGAGCAATTTTGGTAATCTGACACCATTACCTTGAAGACGGGGAAAATCAGGTATGTTTCCGGAAAGGACTAAAAAAATAACATGAAAAAAGTTTCAAAGAAAATAAAAAGTGCAGGCATTTCGTCGCTATATTTTATCAAAATTTTTATTTATCTCTTTATTATTTGAGAGAGAGAGAAAGAGAGAGAGAGAGAGAGAGAGAGGAGAAAGAAAGAGAGAGAGAGAGAGAGGAGAAAGAAGGAGAGAGAGAAAGAGACTTCCGCAAATTCTATTGGATACAAACAATGTAATAAAATCAGTGGTTTAGGTTAAGTGGAAACCGTTAAGACGCACAGTATTTCGAGATCAAAGGTTAGTCAATTTTCGTTATCTGACGATCAGCGGTTTACACAGGTAATGAAACAATTGACTTAATATCGCGTTACAGAGGAAATAAATGCTAGTTTGGGCGGTGTAATTGGTCTAATTCCTCCCCGATGATCCTCTGTTACTAGAACCTCCCGTAAAAGCGTGTAATTAGGCCCCGTGCACAGGAGTCGGTCATTAACCTCCCACGCACGCGACGGTCACTTCCGCCTACAATTCACTCCTTGATGTCCTGCCGTTCAATGCCAGCCTTTCTCTTCATTATCGTTCACTGTTGAGCGTGTCTGGTTTGACGAGGTTCCCCCTGAGACATTCGGAATGGGGTGGGCGTGTTGTTTTGACGTGCGAGTAAACAAAATCTGTCTTTTAGTGTTATAGTTAGATATATTAGGGGTATTTTATTATAGCTTTTATGTTTATAGTGCCTATTGTTCGATTTTTGCTTGTATTCTGAAAACTCGAAAAGTATTGTTGATAAGAATATTGTATGTTGAAAAATTTATAGTTGTCGAAAACACCTATACGAAAAAGAAGCTTATTGAATAGTATCACTAACGTTGATGGAAAATAAACTGTGCAATTGTTCTGAGGACCATCGCGTCTGTATCTAAATAGTTGAGAATCTATGCCTTATTCTGGATATAAAGGAGAAATATTAAATGAATGAATAAAGAAAATGCACAGATCAGGTCATTCAGTGTTTGTCAAAGAATACAACTAATGAAAAGTACAACGATGAATAATCACCTGCTGCGTCGCATATATGAATTGCAGCATATGCAGTGTCAACTCTCGCATTATGATCACAAGGTGAAGGGCAGAGAGAGAATGAATGAGTGTGTGTGTGTGTGTGTGTGTGTGTGTGTGTGTGTGTGTGTGTGTGTGTGTGTGTGTGTGTGTGTGTCTGTGTGTATGTATCCATATCGCATATCAGCGTAGTTCTTATCATCACGTGATTGGTTCGTGTGTGTATGTAGGATGTGTATAAATGAATGTACCTGTCTTTACCTGTATATACGCGTGTGTTTAACGACAAATAGAAAGACATAACAGCACATTCAGTACTTGTCATGGTAGTTTGCACTCAAGCAGTAATTACAGTTCGAAGCCGAGAAGTTTGCCTTTCCATTTTCCTTTTCTTCCTTCTACTTCCTGTCCTCCCCTTTCAGAACAATAAATTGCTGCAGTTTATAGCCCTTGCTCTGTTTCACGTCCCTTCCCGATGTCCCATCCGTCATGGTAATGCATTTCAGTTTCTTTGCGAGTATATTATTATAGACTGAGAATAACGCGTCCATAGGTGCTACGAATCCGTAATGATGATAAAATAGGGGCATAGTGACAATTTATTTTAGTCACTGTTGAAGGTGTCATAGAAAACGTAAACGTTATTTTTAGATTTACATTCTTCGTTATGAACAGGGATAACTATATTAAACTGTTTCCTCATTTATTTGCGGTTTGTATATGTTATCGGAATTTGTCTACTATGTATTTAACAATTTCCATAATAATATTGCTCATTTTGACAGAATAAAAGCCATGGCATTTATAAGAGTTTTTTTCTTCAAACAATATCGTAATTTGCAGTGGTAAAATGAAACTAAAGTTCAACGCCCCCTCACACACACACACACACACACACACACACACACACACACACACACACACACACACACACACACACACACACACACACACACACACACACACACACAACACACACACACACACACACACACACACACACACACACACACACACACACACACACACACACACACAGACATATATATATATATATATATATATATATATATATATACATACATATATACATATATATATGTGTATATATATATATATATATATATATATATATATATATATATGTCTGTGTGTGTGTGTGTGTGTGTGTGTGTGTGTGTGTGTGTGTAAACATATATGTCACACACCCACGCTCTCTTTATTTGAATCCTCCTTTTATTCCTTTCTCCATAATTTTTCGGTCCGTCTCAATAAGCGATAGATGGAGTTGTCTTTCCGCGACAAAACATAAACCTCAACGATTT